GTTATTTGGTACCTATAGGTAAAATAACGTTTTCTACAGATAACCCGCACGTTAAGTCTAACGTTATTGATACATCTAAGGACTAAATATTTATGTAAGTGCATACCTATACTTAGATATAATAGCGTTATATAGACACACATCTTTGCGTATATAAATTTAACTTCATTCCAATGGGAATTTTCTTATTAATCCTTATGGGCTATGGAAATTTGCTTAGGTAGTAGATACTACAAAATTGTTAGGTACCTATTTATGTATCTAGAGCATTAATAAGGCAATATTTATGCCGAGGCCGACAGAGCCCGAGGGCCTCTGGCCCGAGGGATTGTAATTTGTCAGTCGTCCGAGGGGTAAATATCAAGTAATGCCTGAGGTGCAAGCAAAATTTTATTTTTCATAATCCCAAATAATGTACCTATTTCGAATATACCTACAGTGTAATGGTTATTATTGTTTGCCAAACATTAAAGTAGCATCTTTTTTTAATACATAGGTAAGATAAGTGAGAAGAGAGAGAGAAAAAATCCAAAATCCAAAGTCCATGAATATACCTATTTGACAGGACGTTTGAGGGCATAATGAGATGACAATACATTATGCCCTCTCATTACGCCCTCGGACCTCATAGACTGCTTTATACCTACCTATATCTCTTGGTGGGAATCCATGGTGGTAAAGCTCAAAACGGGGTTACAGTTAAATTCCTATTCAACTGTACCTATATCTCATACGACAGATACATTTGTCGTATAATACGCAAATGAAAAATAAAATTAATTTCGGAGGAACTATTTCTTTGAATATAGGGATCTGTCAACTTTTCATCAATATACTTATTCAATTTTTCACGCGAATATGCTCATCTTTACCGATGGTCAATCGTTATAAGAGCCAATTTCATAATCGCACAACAAAAGTCTCCTCTATATCTGAAGTCAACTTTATGTTTAAATTAAGGCGGTTGTTATGGACGAACCTCTCCATTTCGAGTGGAACAAAATATTGAGTTAAAAATTATAAACATTGATACGCTAGCTTGCGTACCTGCTTGTAATGAATAGGTATCATATAGAATTGTTTGTCAACAACTAGGTAGGTACCTATTCATTCAGTCGATTTTAGATTTAATTTTGCATGATTAGGAAATTAAACCTAAAATTCATTTCTATTTTCGATTTTTTACCACAACCCTATATAAATGTTTAAAATTGAAAAATTAAACATCTTTATTTTGCTATAGGTAATACCTATATAATCGTCTGATTTTATGGATGAAAAGAAAAAGATTACCTATTTCTCATTTCTATGTAGTAGACCTACCTCTACGTAGAAAACCTAAAAATTTAATACCTATTGTGTCAAAAGCTCGCAGACGCAGTGCCATTTTAAGTTTCATTTTGACATCATTTTTGAGTTTATCCTATCGAAACAAGAACATTTTCCTTTGAATCGATTGTTTATCCAATTTTCTTTTGATAAATTTTAATTGAACTTTACCGGCGGCAATTTTACAATGGATTAGTTAATTAATTAGTACCTATAGAAGTAGTAAATCGATTTGAATTTTGACAGCTATATATCCTACCTATAGGTAGATACACTTCTATTGTAAGCGAGAATTGGCAAAAATATCTGTATTATAGGTAGATCGCTGCAACATAATCATGCACTTTATACCTTATGTGCGTAAGCACCTTAGGTACAATTACCTACTTCACATGCGTTTCTTATTATAGACACTAAACTATACCTACGCATGCATGTTCCTTATAAGCGTTAAAAGAAAATCTATACCTATGGCTAAGTATAGGTACCTATGCCGAAATACCAGAAATACCGGCGGCAAAGG